TCTGTGTGCCCAGATATAGGTGGCTTGCTTGAAAGTGAGGGGCATGGCCAGAATACTGCTGTGTTCCACATGCTCTCGGTAGACAGAGAGTCCCTGGTCACTGTTTCCAGTTGGCACAATTTAGGTGAGCCCCAGCTTGCTCTTATCCTTACCATAACTGGAACAGAGGCAGACAAGTTAGGGAAGTGTATGTAGTATTATGGTGCCCCCCATCACCTTGTTTTGAATGGTTCTCAATGGTCTGGGCCTGTATGGTGGGTAGTCTTACACATGTATTTTGCAGAAAGTGTTTTAAGAAGGTCTAACATTTGTAGCCAGTAAAACTTGTTCCAGGTAGTAAGACACAACTCATAGAAGGAGAAGAAACAAGACAGAGAGAAGCCTTGTTGCAGACTAGCAGTTCTCGATCTTAGACTCGAGGCACCCCCTGTCAGTCTCAAAGCACCCCTTGGAAAATGCCGGCTCTTAGATTTCACTTGTCACTTGACTACAGAAGAAATAATAGAGCAATGTCTCTGTTGTACAGAACTAAGAATGACCTCAACAGGTCAGAATGTGTCTGACACTATGGATTCCTATTTGAAATCTCTGGGTTTATCTTGTGAATCACATGTAGGTGTTTGCACACCTAACAGTGCTAATATTGTGTGGTACCCTCATAAGGATCTTGTGAGAGCCCAAGTTAAGAATCACTGTTGTAGACATGTCTAAGAAACAGTTATACAGTTGTAGAGCTCACTTGCAGGGTGCTCAGTAGACCTGTACAGATATGGGTAATATAGTACCCAAAACATGTACTTCTTTTAACAAGAGCCCTTCCGGAAGGAAAGGCAGGGAGTTGTAAATTTGCCATTACATTAAAAGTGTGGTTTGGGAAGGGATGATGGGTTAATGAACTGTTGTTAATGGTAGGAGCCAGACAATGCTTATCATATAGTACCATCTGTGGAATAGCCCCATGTTCAGGGACGTGGAATAAGTGGCAACACCCACTGTTTTCCCTTGTGATTAAAGAAGAGGCCCATTAGGTTGATTCTGCAGATGGCAGAATCCAGGTCAGAGGTATAACAGAAGGTTAGCAAGTAGGGTATATTTAATAAGAGCTTGGAAACCCTGTCTCTCTCCATAAGGGAAAATAGACTGCATTGAGCTTCTTTGAAAGGCATTCATAGAATCATAGAAAATGAGGATTAGAAGGGACCTTGGGAGGTCACATCTAGTCCACCCACCTGCTTAAAGCACGACCAGCCCCAACTAGATCATCCTAGCCAAAGCTTTGTCTAGCCAGGTCTTAAAAACCTCTAAGGATGGTGCCTCTACAACCTCTCTGGGTAACCTGTTCTAGTGCTTTACTAACCTCCTCATGAGAGTTTTTCCTAATATCTAACCCAAACTTCCCTTACTGCAACTTGAGCCCACTGCTCCTTGTTCTGTCATCTGCCACCACTGAGAACAGTCCAGCTCCATCTTCTTTGTAACCCCTCTTCAGGTAGTTGAAGGCTGCTATTAAATCCCTTCTTGGTCTTCTCTTCTCCAGAGTAAATAATCCCAGTTCCGTCAGCCTGTCTTCATAAATGAAACTGGGCCTAAAAATACAAGGTGTATATTATTAATAGCCAGGGTAATTAACCACTGGAAAATCTTCCCATGGTCTGCGGTGGATTCTCCAGCACTGGAAAAGGTTAAATCTGGATTGAATGTTTATTGCAAAGACATGCCCAAGTCCCACTGAGGATTCATTCAGGACAGTGGGATGGCCTGTGTTGTACAGGAGGTCAGACTAGGAGGTCATCGTGTCCCTTCTGGCTTTGTAAGCTCGAGCTCTATGAATTCAGTGGCTTGGCAACCACAGAAAATCCATCAGAATTTGTCGATGTTGTGTAGCACATTTCCCCAAATGGCTGCACCCAAGGTGGGTAAAGGGCAGAATGGGCAGAATGTCTTTCTTAATACACAGGGGATCCAAGCCCAAGTGAGCTCGCAGACGACTAAAAGTTATAAGCACCTGACAGCTGTTGGTTGACTTACCTTGTGCACAGCTGATTGGCTGGTGAGGAGGTCACTGCAGATTTGCCATCATAAAAGTGATTCTCAAGTCCTTTTTCTCTTTGGAAATGAGGAAGCTGGCATCCCAGCTCCCTGCAGACAAGATGCGGGGGAGTGGAGGGGGGGAGCTCTGCACTTGGGCTCTAAGGATTCAGTGTCTCCAGAGCCCTCACCACATGCTTCAGTGGGCTTCAGCATGCTAGACTTTGATGTCTCTGGAGGACCAGACAGAAAATTAACTTGTTTAATGAAATGTAAGTCATATTGCCTGAGCTATGTGCAGATTCTCCATCAGGGAAACTGGGGCTGTCAGAGAATAAACAAGGGAGACAAATTCAGAGGCGAGCACCAAGGGCCTAAGAAAGTTGAGGGAGTTCCCACGTAGGCATAATGTGCACTTGCTTTCAGTTTCTCCACGTAAACTGGTATGGGCTGGGATAAAACCCACCAAAGCTGGTAGGTATAAAAACCGCCCTGCCATTCAGCTTAAATGAGGGAGAAGTTAAATGATCCTTTGTTAAACAGTAGCTGAAACAATAGAGACTACTGTTTAAAACACTGCTCCCATGGAGGGGCAGTCCAGAAGCTACACCATAGAGGCCATGAGTTTCTTAGGCATGAATATAGCAACTACAGTGCTAGATCTTGCTTGATAGGGCTGTGGCTGTATCCCTGTGTTTGAGAGAAGAAGATACCAGAGAGCAAGAAAGCCACGGACAGAGTTCGAACAAGCAGTGAGACAGGGGCCCTGAGAATGAGAGCGCTTTCCAGCTTAGTGCCGGCTGGAAAAGGAGCTTGGAGCCATGAATAAAACATGCCTGCTCCTTTGATTGCTGTTGTGTTAAGGCAAACAAGATCTGGACATGCTTTGTACATAAAGAGACCTACATCAAAGAAACACCTGGCTCCCTCACCTCATTTCTCCTCCTAGCTGAAACAGCTTACAAGACCCTGAATTTTTGGCTGACCACTTAGGTCAGAAAGGGGGTGACAAGTTACTGCAACTTAAGCTGCTGTTGGATTGCTCTACATAATTAGGGACAGACTGCAACTTCCATTCAATCACCCGCACGCATAGATCTGTTGAAGTCAATGGAATTATCTGCGTGATTAAATGCTCACCCATGTGAATAAAGGATATAACATAGCCACAGCACAGCCCCGAGGTTCCCCTGGATTCACGGGGCCAGTCACAGATGATGTATAAGATACCCCTTCCCGCTTCTCTGCTCTTCTCACTATTCTTTGAGAGCTGCTTTCGGTTTGCCCCCTCCATCAGTGTCTCCCCAGGCCTCATCTGCTGTTATCTATCAGCTGGCAGACTGCAAGAGTCTAAAGAGGAGATATAGTAAAGAACCCCTGTTTTAGTGCAGTCCTTCTTCCACCTTCTACCAGTTCTTTGGGGCACAAGGCAAGCCAGCTCTGACTTCCACAGACTTCTGTGGAGTGGATACCGGGAGCCCCGAGAAGCCTACCTGAGCACCAGGAAATCTAAGCTAGCCAAAGGGAGTCAGTTCTGAACATGGGCTGCACTACAGAGCAGTGAGGAAGACATCCTGCTGTGACAGCTACAGGATCAAGGAGCACAGAGAGGCACATGCCATTGCAGAGATAAGCTTTTTATTTAGAATTATCTAGGTCTGAGACAGGGCGTATGAGTCAGCATCAGTTCTGGCCATGGTGAGGCTTACATTTCTTTCTGCATCTTCCAAGACATCTCCCCCTGTTTTGCCTGCAGGAAAAAAAAAACCAACACCCTGCAAATCCTTTTCACTTCATTCAATTAGAAACCAACATTAGCAATATATTTGCTCCACAGGTGACTGATAGGAGGGGCACGGGGCAGGGGGCATGTGACCCCCCCTGAGATTGACCTCTGACTTGGCACCGCTCAGGACAGGGCAGTATTTTTCCCATGTGGGCTGGCAGCATGGGGGGGGTGTGTGTGTGTGTGTGTGTGTGTGTGTGTGTGTGTGTGTGTGTGTGTGTGGCTTTT